GTAGGCTCACAACGTTTTGGACGCCATTTGGTCGGTATCGATGGACTCGTCTTCCATTCGGTATTGCCCCAGCCCCCGAAATTTTTCAGATAAAGCTTCAAGAAGTTATTCAAGGGCTCAAGGGGGTCGAGTGCATTGCAGATGATTTACTGGTTTTTGGCGTGGGAGACACCCTCGAGGAAGCGTTGATCAACCACAACGAATGTCTGAAGAATCTTCTTTGCCGGCTTGAGCAGCATAACATAAAGTTGAATAAGTCGAAGTTGAAAGTGTGTGAGCGATCAGTTAAGTTCTACGGTCATGTGCTAACGGATCAAGGCCTTAAACCCGATGAAGACAAGGTGATTGCTATCCGCAGTTATCCAACACCGGTAAGTCGGAAAGAGGTTCATCGATTTATTGGCATGGTAAACTACCTTAGCCGATTTATCCAAAATCTCAGCGTCAACATGAACAATCTGCGAAGACTGATTTCGGAATCCGTCCCTTGGCAGTGGACATCGGTGGAGCAAGCTGAATTCGAAAAAGTTAAATCGATGGTGGCTGACATCAACACTCTCCGTTATTATGACGTCAAGCAACCATTGGTCATTGAATGTGATGCTAGCAGCACTGGGCTTGGCGTGGCCATTTTCCAACAGGATGGAGTTATTGGCTATGCATCCAGAACCCTCACATCCACGGAAAGAAATTACGCCCAGATTGAAAAGGAGCTGTTGGCAATTCTCTTCGCCTGCATACGCTTCGACCAGTTGATTGTCGGTAATCCCAGTGCGACGGTCAGGACGGATCACAAGCCATTAATTGCCATTTTCCGTAAACCACTGCTATCAGCGCCTCGTCGATTGCAGCATATGCTGTTGAATCTCCAACGATATAACCTTTCTGTGGAATTCGTAACGGGTAAGGATAACGTAGTAGCAGATGCGTTGTCCCGTGCATGTCTGGCTACAACAGAACCTGAGGAGTACAAGAAGCAGAATATATATAAAGTGCTAAAAGATGTGGAAAATGTGAAGTTGAGTGCTTTTTTGCGAATTTCGGACAGTAAAATAAATGAAATTATCGAACAAACAGAACAAGATCCTTTGATACAGTTGGTGATGAACTACATTCAAAACGGTTGGCCGGAGTCCGCTGACCGTGTGCCCGATAGTGCTAGAGTGTATTTCAACTATCGCAATGAACTTTCCACGCAAGACGGCCTGATTTTTCGTAACGACCGTATATTGGTGCCACATGTTCTTCGAAGAAGGCTGATTGGAAGCTGTCATGCGAGTCATAACGGAATAGAGGCAACTTTGAAGCTGGCACGAGCAAATCTGTTCTGGCCCGGCATGAACGGCAAGACTGAATGATTATCAACTCTAGACTTGTGAAGCTTTTTGAAGAAACGAGAAGATGTTCTATATTACTTTGATGTGCCCCTCGTTTGAAGAACAATCTACTACTACTTTTATATTATACACTCTCGACACACACACACCTACCTATCATTCTCTTGAACGGCATTGTTAAATTAGATCTTGCGCGATACGGATCGCTACGTGTAATAAGATTAAATAAAAGTTATTTCTGATTAAATTCTTGATTTATTTCGAAGAATAGAACAGTCCCAATATATATATATATATATATGTAGCAGAATAATTACAATGTTGACATTATACCTATCTTCATTAGGTACAATTGATTATAGCAAACTTTTTTAAGTGTGAGTGTAAGAAGCCTCCACGGGGTGCCTTTTTATGTAGTTGTGATATCGCGGGATGAGCTCTTAAGGCACAATATGGTATACGTCAGAGAAGTACCTAGAGAATTTATCTCAATTACAGGTTTAATAACATATTTGTTTACCTGTTTATGTTTTGAGCCTCTGTTATGACATACACAATTCTATCCAGGTATACAACTAATAGAGGACAGAAAAAAGGCACATGAGTGGGTTTGTTGATTATTTGGGTATATTTGAGAGTATTTACTTATAAACTTGTTTCTTTTCTGCTGCGTCTAAATAGAAACGGGTAAGTCTGACAGCTACCATATTTGAGAATGAATTGTTTGGTTTTTAATATATATTCATGGAAAAACATCTCGTTGCTGGACATCACGACTAACATTTGAAAATGGCCCAAAATGTAGAAAATTATTATAATTATTTTTTTAAATTGCATTAACTTGAGAACGGCTGGACTTAGGAAAAAAGTTTTTATATGCAAAGTTTTTGACAATTATGCGTAGAATCCAAATAAATTACTATTTTACTAAAAAATATGCAATTTCACCAACTTGTAAAAACCAACAAAAATTTCAAAAACTATAGATTTTTTTTTAAGAAAGTTACCAGCATACACTCTTCACCAAATATTAGGGCATTTTTTCAGTTTTCTTGCAAAAAAAAATTATAAAGATCGAACGGGGGGTGTTTTGAGATAATCATCGTTTTAGGTTTTTAAAATACTAATTTACTAAGTTTTTCTTTCAGTGTTTTTTTTCCGCAAAGATAATTTAACTACCTAAAACTTCTTCTGATATGTCATTTTGATCAGATCAATAGTTTTCAAGTTATGATTTTTTGAAAAAAAAAATAATCCATTTTTTATACGCCCTTTTCAAAAGTTACTCTGGAGGAAAAAATCATATTTAAATGAAAAATGCAACCATTAGTAGCAGCGAACACGTGAGAAATGTTTCATTCAAATCGGAAACACTCATGACCAACCGGTTTGCGTTTTGGGCTGGAAATGCTCCAAAAGCAGTTTTTTTCGACGCATTATTTTAGATAGCAAAAAGCTCGCGTCATTTTGTGTAAAATATCAAAAGGAATCGAATAGTGCGAGCTTTTTACAATCTGAAATAATGCATCGGAAAAAACTGCTTTTGAAATTTTCCAAAAAGCATCAAAGTAATTGAACCTTAACCTGTCAAACCGGCTACCTATTGTACAGAGTAAACAAACATTGCGAGGAAAACTCAACAAAAGGTATTGCAATAAAATAAAATAAAATGTGATTGGAGAAATGATCATAAACACGCAGTGAGCTTTAAATTGTCATGGGATACGTTTGGTAATGATAAGTAATGGGAATTTGTAATATTTGTTGTTAAGATAATTCGACACTTTCTCTGATATAATCATTTACTATAGTCGCTAATTCGTTTAATTTTTGAATTTTTGCTTTAACCGCAAAATACTACCTGTTGGTGCAATAAAAAATGTTTCAAAGAGTGACACGTTTTACACTATTTAAACCTACTCTACCATTTCATTCAAATCGTTGATGGATGGGCCCAATCTTAAGATCCATACACTTTGATTATGATGATGATGATGATGATGATGATGATGATGATGATGATGAGGGTGGTCCCAACTCTTACCCCTACAAAGGTTTGAGCTGGACGATTTATCTTTAAGATAATTAAATATGACATTTTAACCAGGTTGGCAAACAAAATCGAACTGGTTTCAGTTACAGATATAAATTCCCTCTACACAGATAAAAATTCTGAATTTTAATAGTGATGTAAACATTCATACACGTAAACTTGTATTTCATTTCACGCAACCGAGCAACTTGTAAACAATGTTGTTTACAACAATGGGCTTTTGTATACAATATTTGCTACATTGCATGAAATGTCTCTGAACTTTACACGATATATAATGTAAACTTATATGATATGTGACGCTCCATTTATGTGCATCATACTGAACAGAAATTTACACTACTTTTTCGAACTGTGTAGAGTTTACAGTTGCTTCACAGCGATATAAATGTGGAAAAGCTCAGGCGTCCACCTCTTAGCTCGCCTTTTTGTCCACCTAAAATATTCATAAGTATTACAAGCAATCAAGAGTTAATGAACAATCAACAAAGCATCCTATTACACTCAAAATAATTATCGCACTTTTCATGTAAGTGTTACGTGATTTTATATGCGCTCACTCATTTCAGTGAGCGAGATGGTCACGGGATTATCATGTAGAAGCTATGTGATTCTTTCGGTGAAATTCATGGTGGTTTTCAATAATTTTTATTCCGGATTAAATTAAATGTTTTTCTTGATTTCAAATGAAAAAAGAACATACAGTATTTCTTGACCATTGTATCTTTACTGTGGTAGATATACACACACAGAAGAAGAAATTAATTCGAGCGAAACTGGACTCGGGAAGGATATGGGACGCATATGATACAAAGGCATTTAACTCGCATTTCATTCCATGGTACTCCTTGTCGTCAGTCTAAAACAAAGAAACATGTTACAAATTATTTTCACCATACAATTTATCTGTGACAAAATATTCAGCCATTATACTTACAACACGAAATTGTCTCACGAAAATAAGCCTCAAGATTTTAACTGGCATGTAAACATGCAACTTGCAATTCCACCATATTTTGTACCATCATGAGAGAGGCACTCATTTTCATATGTGAAAATTATTTAGGATGATTGCACATGCACATAGAATTTTTTTTTTATATCTTTATTAAGGAGACTTTCAGCCGTTGGCTGGCTCGTCTCCGAGCACATAGAATTGTATGTGCAAATCACGTGCGTTCCATTAAAAAAAAAACCTAGTGAATAGAAAAGGAATTCCCGTTGATCATATGGGGTATCACGTAGACTCTACTTGTGTCACATAAATTTAACATAAAAGTGAAAAGAGAGACTCCACGTGATTTTTCACGTAACAATAACGTGTCGATTATTTTGAGTGTACGCCAACATAAGAGCCATTTCCCCTTTATACACTGAAATAGATTTTGTGGTTAAAAAACGAATGCCAAAATGTTCTATTAGTTCAAATTTTCTACATTTATCTTAACCAGACATGCTACACCACCCTCTCCCCCATTCAATAATATGTAATAAATTGTAACGCTTCTTTTCCTTCCCCCTCTTCCATTTGTGATAGGTAATTTGTGAACAGACCCCAACCATGTTAGACATTTATCAACCCTATCGCATTTTTTATAAAAAAAAAAAAACTAATCCAAATTCATCTTTCTAAAACTTCCCTCAGCACCGAAATCATCCGCATCTTCACTAATCTGCTTGCGCAAGAACTTACACATGGATCGATCGATTTCCATCGTGCTCTGCGCGTGTATCACATCTCTGTAGCGAGCAAACCGTTTCCGCAGCTGATCCTTCAACTCTTCCAGGGTAAATCTTCCTCGGGCGTCGTACTCTTTCGGCAGAACCGTTGCGTCGTTGCACTTTGTGTACTCATCAAACGATTTGTGGAACTGGGAAAATTCATCAGAGGTCAAATCAACTTAATCACACTCCTCGATCATCACACTTACATGGGTACGACTTTTCTGCTTCGCGTTGAAGAAACTTATTATGACCTCAATAAACGACACCACGTACTTGGGAACATTTACCACGTGAATCGCTTTCAAACGGATGGGTAACGTTTTCAGTGAGAAATCTAAATACTTTTTCAAATCGTTTACAGGCCATTGGGCCAAGTTTGCCATCGTAAACCCCTTCATATCAAACACCACAGATGTACCGGCAATCTGGACTTCGGCTTCCTCCTGATAGCTGTCATAAACCATCGTCCAAAGTCTAATCCCGTGTTCATCGGTGTACTTCTTCGGGTCGAAGTTTCCAAACTTCGCTAGCAACACAAACTTCCCACTTTGGTCGTATCCAAGTGGAAGAACCGGTCTCGCTTCGATCACATCACTGATCCACGGCTCGAAGGTGTCCAACTTCACGAACCATCGAGGAATCGATTGTCGCAAGGCAAGGTACCGTTCCAGATTCTCGCACGCGGTCACATGGTTGTACTTTCGCACGCGAAGAAACTTCAACAGGAATCGTGCATCCGTTCGGCAGGACTTGATGGCGGGATGCTTGGCTATCCAGTCCCTCAGTTGGGCAAGAGCTTGCTCTTTGATTTGTGGCGTTTCCCGCAGCTCCTCAAGGGCAATGGCTCGGTATATGTCCGGCAGGTTGACCACATCGGACGCAGTATCGTCGTACTGGGAAGGATTTTTAACAAGACTCGGTGCCGGCAGCATCACGTCGAATTGAAATGACAAATGGTATGAGAACATTCAAGCTGGATGATTTTGAATGATGAACAAATTAATCAAAGTAGATGCGTGACTGTCGGTATGACATAATTTATTAACTCACTATAAATTCAAAACAATGATCCAAACAGATGCTCCAGATACTGTGTAGTTAGAATATTTTAACAGACATGCGATGACCCTCCCAAGTAAGCTCAGAACCGATTAACATGCTAATCATAATACAGATTGTTGCTCTGGACAATGCAATTGAAAAAGCTCGTATCCGAAATGAGCTTTACATTTTACAACATCGTAAAACACAATCACTTCCCATTCTCATTTCAATCCGACGTGATGCTGCCCGCACCGAGTCTCGTTAGAAACCCTTCCCAGTACGATGATACCGCGTCCAGTGTGGACAACCTGCAGGACATATACCGAGCTATCGCCCTTGACGAGCTTCGGGAAACGCCACAGGTCAAGGAGCAGGCGCTCGCTCAACTGAGGGACTGGATAGCCAAACATCCTGCCATCAAGTCCTGCCGAACGGATGCAGGATTCCTGTTGAAGTTTCTGCGCGTGCGAAAGTATGGCCACGTGACCACGTGCGAGAATCTGGAACGCTATCTTGTCATGCGACAGTCGATTCCTCGATGGTTCGGTAAATTGGACACCTCCGAGCCGTGGGTCAGTGATGTAATCGACGCGGGGCCAATTCTTCCGCTTGGGTACGATCCGAACGGAAAGCTTCTGACGTTAGTCAAAATAGGGTACTTTGACCCAAAGAAGTACAGCAACCAACACTTCGTGAGATTTTGGACGATGATACTGGATAGCTACCAGGAGGAAGCCGAGATGCAGATTGCCGGCGGATCGGCAGTGTTCGATATGGAGGGATTCACGATGGCTCATATTGCCCAATGGCCTGTAACCGATTTGCACAGGTACGTGAGCTATATGATAAATACGACACCCATGCGCATCAAGGGCATTCATTTGGTAAACATTCCCAAGTATGCAGTGTCATTTGCGGAGCTCATAATAAGTTTCTTCAACGCGAAGCAGAAAAGTCGTACCCATGTAAGTGTGATGATCGAGGAGTGTGATTAAGTTGATTTGACCTCTGATGAATTTTCCCAGTTCCACAAATCGTTTGATGAGTACACAAAGTGCTACGACGCAACGGTTCTGCCGAAAGAGTACGACGCCCGAGGAAGGTTTACCCTGGATGAGTTGAAGGATCAACTGCGGAAACGGTTAGCTCGCTATAGGGATGTGATATACGAGCAGAGCACGACGGAAATCGATCAAACCATGTGCAAACCATTGCAGAAGCAGGACGTTGAACATGACACCGGGTTTGGAGTAGATGGCAGCTTCCGAAAGTTGAATTTGGATTGATTTGGGTGCTTCGACTACATCAAATCGTACATACGTTTTATAATACCAAGTGACGTACATATTCTTTTTACTAATAATGACAAATTTAACGTAATCTAGGTAGCAAGTAATGAAGGCAAAAGTGTATTAATTGTAAAACATGTTCTGAACGATACAACTAGAAAAATAAATAAATCAAGTGTTATTTCAGTAAAGTTTGATTTTAAAATGTGTACATCAAGGTGGGTCAAGTTTATATGGTGGATCACATCCCTATTGCTCTTGCCCCTATGTGTATTGAGGTCCCCAACAACGGTGCCAAATTTGAACGAATTCGGTTATGATCTAGATTAGCGGGAGAATCTTAAAAGTTGTATGGGAAACGAAACGAACCAATTCATTTGCTTGTCAAAAATGCAAATATAGCTCAAATTTCACCAAATCTCGGACATAGATAGCAAATACTATGCAGAACAACTTTTCGGAGACTGCCTCGTTTCTCGTTTTTGTTCGAATCGCATTTTCCATACAAAAGAAAGTATTTTTGTATGAAAAATACGGTTCGAACGAAAGCAAGAATATGGGTGATTATATTAACACTCCGAACACGATGCCTCCGGTAAAATGTGTAACGAAAAACATTCAATGTTTGAAAAATTATGGCTCAGTCATTTATTGATGAATTTCAAATCTATTGACACCATTTTAAACTAAAACTACATACTTTAAATATTAAATTTTATACAGTATCAATCGATTTAAAATCTATTAATAAATTGCTACGCAATGATTCTTCAAACATTGCCAATTTGCCTTTACACATTTTACCGGACGTGTTTGGAGTGTTAGTTCAGACCACGCTTACCTACAGGCATATTTATGAGCTTGTAGATACATGTGGAACACTTGGTCTAAAGTAAAAGATTAGTAACTTTTGTTACAAATATCAAATCGATTTGCAGTCTTCCACAAAATTGTTTTGTATAGTAGCTTCAAATACGAGCAATGTTTGGATTTTTGCTAAGCAAATTAATAGGATCGTTCCGTTTCCCATACAATATTTAAAATTCTCAAGCAAACCTAGATTATAACCAAATTCGATTAAATTTTGCACAGTTTCTGGGGATCTCAATATGCAATGAAAGAGCAATGGGGAACAGGGGGCTGTAAAGTCAACCCACCCTACTGTACATACCAGCTCCGTACCGCAACATGAAAAAAGAGTGGGAACGCACATTTATCCGCCCTATATATTCAGTTGTAGCAATAGTGGAATACAATCCATACCTGATCGTAAAAGATCGACACTAAAGATAGCTTTATAGAAAGAACGGCAAATGCTCAGTAATTATAGGCTCTTCAAATTACATCGGCTTTCATAATTAGCAAAGTTCACAGCATCTTTTCATTGAAGAGGCAATATTCGTGCGACTCTTTTCATTAAGGCGTAATACGTTTAGGGTGCTTCATTTTGAAAAATATATATTAGCAAACATGGCAGCTATCCGCCACTTTAGTTCATACACACTTAGAAAAAGTATTATTATTATTTAACTTTATTAGGGAGGCTTTCAGCCTTGGGCTGGTTCGCCTCCAAATTTAGAAAAAGTACACAGAATCTAACAGCCGAGCTTTTGACAAGCATCTCGGTAGAACATTCAATTGCCGTCGGTAAAGCAAAATTTACCACAACTGTAAAATTTTGCCAAGCCTTCGGAAAAATTGTTTACCGTTTATTGGTATTTTTTTTTTTTGTGAATTCTGGCAGTTTTGATCGAGATTTTGAAGAGGAAAAAGAAGAAGTATAAAATTTAAAAACATTATTTTCATGGTTGAAAACCGTCCTCTATGGGAAAAAATAGAGAAGGTCTTGTATAAGAGAGGAGCGGATTCAAAACAAACTGTTTTGGCAACCTATGCCTAGGTGATTTCTAGCAACATACATACCGTGCCGATTCAAATTTTGGACACTTTTAAAAGTTGATTATCTCGGTCGAATATGATCCACATATCTTGTAAATTTTAAATTTTTTTGACTAGTGCCCTCCACGATCATCTAACATTATTACTTTGTTTCTAACTGGATGTAATATTTAATTAAAAATGAAAGTGTCCGAAATTTGAATCGTGCGAAATTTGAATCGGAACGGTACATACATTTATTTGTACAACATCACTTTTAAGATAAGACATAATCAACAATAGTACGCCACAATACTCGGTTTGCGGCTGCCGCTCTCCATCTTCGGTCATGCCTAATGCTCGCTATATCACGCTCTACCTGCTCCGCCCATCGTGCTCTCTGTGCTCCACGCCTTCTTGTGCCTACCGGATCAGTAGCGAACACCAACTTTGCAGGGTTGTTGTCCGGCATTCTTGCAACATGCCCTGCCCACCGCTTACTGGCATTCACTGCCGAGCTGTTTGACATCATACGGGATAATGCCCCCACAGCCATAGACGCTCTCTTGCAGGCGTAATCAACGTGGCAGCCGAAGCTGAGCTTATCGTCGAGCATGACCCCCAAGAGTTTTAGAGAGCGCACAGACCTAATTGTGCTTCCGCCGACTGTCAACGTCGCATGCTGTACTGACATGCGATGGTGACTACGACCACTTCCATCTTGTGATGGGCGAGCTCCAGTTTCCTGGTTCTCATCCATTCCTCCACAAGCCTGACGCAGTGGGCCGCTGTCAGCTCTACCTCCTCGAGGGATTCCCCGCAGACTACCAGCGTGACATTGTCGGCAAAACCTACAATTTTCACGCCTACCGGGAATTTTATCCTCAACAGTCCATCGTACATGACGTTCCATAACACCGGGCCCAGGATGGAGCCTTGTGGCACACCTGCGGTGACTCTAACGCATTTTTCGCCATCTTCTGTGTCGTACGTCAACACACGATTCTGGAAGTAGTTTTCCAGAATCTTATACAGCCCTCCGGGAATTTGGAGCTGGTGTAGCGAGCGGGCTATCACCCCCCAGCACGCGCTGTTGAACGCGTTCTTCACGTCTAAGGTTAGCACCGCGCAGTAGCGAATGCCCCTTCGTTTCCGATGGACCACCTCAGCCGTCTGGATGACGTCGCGGATGGCGTCCACCGTGGATCTGCCCTTTCGGAACCCGTACTGGCTGCTTGACAGGCCGTCTACACCTTCGGTGTAGGCCGACAGCCTGTTGAGGATGACCCTCTCAAGCAGTTTCCCAGTGGTGTCCAGCAAACAGATGGGTCTGTATGCTGACGGGTCCCCAGGGGGTTTTCCTGGCTTCGGAAGCAGCACCAGCTTCTGCCGCTTCCACGCGTCTGGGAAGACGCCTACGTCCAGACAAGTCTGAAAAACAGAACGGAACATGTCTGGATTTTCCGCAACGGCCGCCCTCAGAGCCACCACCGGGATCCCATCTGGGCCCGGGGCCTTGCCCACCACCAGCGACCTGGCAATACCGCCAAGTTCACTGTTCGTCACTCTAGACACTTCTCCCTGATCCGCGCCTGGGATCCGCGGCCAGGAGTCTACGTCCCTACGCGGGAACAGGAACCCAAAGATCGGAGCCAGTACCGCTGGTGATCTCTTCGGGGGTGCCGTCACGCCGCGGGTCTTTGCCATGACCACTTTGTAAGCATCCCCCCATGGGTTCGTGTTGGCGCTTTGGCATAGGCTGTCAAAGCACGCGTGCTTGCGTCTGGCGATCTCTTTATTGAGGGCTGCCTTAGCCGCTCGGAGAGCGACGCGGCGTTCCTCCCGAGATTCAGTCGTACAAGCTTGTTGCATCCTCCTTCTCGCCTGGAGGCAAGACGCCCTGAGGATAGCAATCGACTCGCTCCACCAGTACACCGGTCTATGGCCATGCCTGGGATAGGCTCTCCTAGGCATGGTTGTATCGCACGCCCTTGTCAGTGCTGCTACCAGTTCTTCCCCCGTCAGATCCGGGGTTATTCGCTCCCGCCTCAGTGCTTCGCCGAAGACCTCCTCCTCGAAGAACGACGTCCGCCAGCCTCGAGCGCAGGAAGAATTTCCTCCTGCCACTCGCCTCTCACCTGGCCGCACACTGTACCGAATCGCCTGATGGTCACTATGAGTGTAACCCTCATCGACCCTTCAGTGTAGGTTGCCCTCCAAACTCGGGCTGCAGTATGTCACGTCGATGACGGATTCTGCACCATTCCTTCTGTAGGTACTGACCGAGCCGGTGTTGGATAGTACAACGTCCAGCTTGGCCATTGCCTCCAGTAGGATGCATCCTCTCTGGTTGGTGTGGTGGCTACCCCACTCTACCGCCCATGCGTTAAAGTCGCCCGCAATGACCACCGGTCTTAGGCCGACAAGTACCGCAGTCAGTCTGTCCACCATCTGCGAGAATTGCTCGATAGACCACCTGGGCGGAGCATAGCAGCTACTTAAGTATACTCCATTAACCCTGGCGATCACGAATCCCTCGCTCGAGTTGGACACGACTACCTCCTGAATGGGGAAGCTCCCCATCGTGCATATCGCCGCCATCCCCGACGCGTCCGTGACCCAATTCCCGTTGCCGGTTGGGACGCGGTACGGGTCAGAGATGATTGCGACATCCCCAAGTAACCATAGGCACCTTATTTCGCCATTTTGGCTATATACGGGCCTCATCAGAACTTACAAACACTGGTATAGCCGTTGTTCAGCTGTATATAGCCAAAAAGGCGAAATAACGTGCCTATGGTTACTTGGGTCCGCTCCCCATTCCACTGCCGATTGCCACAGCAGTTGCTGGGCAGCCGAACAGTGGTTCAGGTTCAACTGCGCTACCTCGAACATAGCTGAGCATTGCTCTTTGCCTTAGCAGCATTGCTCTTGGACCCCGGGCAGCGTGGGCCACCTGCCATGTGGTTGGTAGGGGTATTCCCTTTCTCCGCGCATATAGTGCACCTCGGCGGCTTTTGGCAACCTCGCGCCTTATGGCCCTCCGAGCCGCACCATCTGCAAAACTTGCTCCTGTCGGTGTTCTTACAGTCACGGGCCACATGGCCCTGACCGAAGCACCTAAAGCAAGCCGTAACCGGTCGGGGAATACTGACGGGGCAGACCAACCAGCCCACTCGCAGCCTCCCTGCGGCTACCGCCTTTCTGGCCTCAGCTGCAGAGAGCCTGATGGTAGCCACTTGGGTGGAAAACAGTCCCTTCCTCAAGGTAATCGCTGATTGCGGTACCTCGACTTGACACTGTTCCCGGAGCGCCGTGACTATCTCGGTCGCCTCCGTCACTTCGTCCAGGTCTTTGACATGGATGGTGATAGTCGAGCCTAGCGACTTCACCTGCACCCCAGAACTAACAACCTCCTTTGCCAGTTTCTGGTAGGTTGGTCCCTGGTCCTTAGCACCACGTTTGAGCACCAGGAGCATCTCGCCTGTACGAGTGCGCCTGATGCTCCTCACGTTACTGCCCATCTCCACAAGGCGCTCGTCCGTTCTCATTTTCTTCAAGACTTCCGCGTATTTCGACGCGTCCGTCTTGAAGATGAGAGCTTCCCCCTTGTTCCTGGTCCGGGAAGCACTGCTCTTGGGGGCTGTTTTGTCCGGGGGTTTCGGGGATTTCGGGGGGGGGGGGCACCCTTCTTCCCGCCCTTGGAGCCACTACATTTCTCAACTTTGCCAGTCTTCTTGATTTGTTGTCTTCGGTTTTATGCTCATTTTTAAGAATTTCCTAATTGGGAGATTGCCGTAAAAGCTCGACGCAGATGTCGCCACTGCATGATGATGATAATGTTGACAGACTGCATATAAAATTCGTGAAAATTAGCATTAAATCATAATCATTAAGCCTGCGTAAAATCCTTCCAATAAAACATTCGAATTGAAGGAGAAAATGTTTTCACGATCAAACTGATGTGCATCTTTGACTTTTCCAGATGAACTTTCATAGGATTTATTCATTTCATTTCACAGCTCCATCAATGCTGCATCGTACATATGATGTAAACAGAAGTAAAATGCTCAATTACTCAAAATAAAGATGATTTGTCATCTTGTTATCACTTTATAAACCATCGAGTACCATTTTATAGTATGGTGCGTGTTAAGTAAATCAAGTTCCGTTGCGTTTTCCGTCGAAAATTGTTTAGATAATTCTGGAGTGGGCCTGGCCCCCCTGGCACCCGCATTAGCTACGCCAATGGCTATCAGCTGTTTCTTCGATTCATGGATAGCCAAAAACTGCGAGGAAATGGAAACAATATTCGAAAGAGTATCAAGTATAAGGCATTTTTAAAGATGAATAATCTTTTGAGCAATTGAAGGCGGACAATAAGTTTGACATATTCATGAAAATAAAAGTCTTTCACAATATTTTTCTCTGACATAGTTGCGCGAGCAGGCAATAATACTAGTTTCTGAGTAACTGCACTTTTTTTTCTCGTAAATGATTTAATTTTAATCAGTTTTGGTTAATTTGTCATCGGTTGTATTTTAGTACACATTTTTGTAAGTGAATTTTCATTGTATCTCAAAAACTATCCTACTAAGATTTTTGGATTCAGCGCACGATTTTACATATGAATCATTGGTCAAAGATTCAAGTTAATTTTTTTACTTTTATTTGTAAACTAGTGTTATCTAATAAATAATACATTTATTCAACCAAATAACCCCCGGCCGCGATTAATTCTTCTGCTTAATCTCCTGCACCGCATTGGACTGCGTCAGCGTATTATCCTCGTACGTCTCCAGCACGTCGGCCAAATGCTCGTTATCCCTCGGTTTCTTGAACTGCCTCTTCTTTGATTGGGCCTTCTTGCGCTTCGGAATCATCGGCTTCTTCGGACCGTGGTCCTGCATCGACCGGATGCCCTGCTTCTCCAGGTACTCATCGATCTTGGCGTCGTCCATCGCGTCCACCGTCACGGCACGCCACAGCTTCTGGAAATCGTCATCGATCTGGAAGTTCGCCGACCGATCGTTGTAAAACAACACCTTCTTCTTGTCGTTCGGTCGCGTGATAAAGACAATCTCCGAAGCTCGATTCTTCAGAACCTTCTCGCAATGCGGAAGCGACTCCTGGACGTCGTCCAACAGCACACCTCCTAGCCCCTTAAGATCGTGCTGCTTCAACAATCGCATCAGACTCTTGCCGTCCTTGATTCTAAACACAGCCTTGAATACGTAGCGTCCTTCAGGTGTCACGTCAATCTTCGGATTGTTCCTCAACGCTTCGGTCTGAAGCCAGGCCTTTACACTGGACCCGATATCCAGCTGATTGGTTTCGTCCAAAATGTCCTCCAATGTGAGCGGATGATCTTCCCCATCCTGATGACGGGATCGCATGTGTTTGACGATTTTGGCCAGCACACCGAAACGGTACTGGGAGCTTCCGGACATTGTCTTGTAGCTAAAACCCATAATAAAATCACTCATTTTGGACACTTTCCGCGACCATACGGGAACTTACTTGTTGACATCGATCTTCGGAGGGGCGACCGATGGCCGCGCTTTCTTGACATCTTTCGGTGCAGAATAGCTAGGTTCCGTACGGGCCTTCTTTTCGACGCTGAAATTCGGTCAAACATAGCAAAATCTCAAAACAAATAAAACATAAAATCCCGAACAAGACTGCTTACGTTGGCGTAGCCATGGCCCGCCGTTTGAAGGCCTCCCGCTCGCGAAGCAGTGCTGGATCCATGATGGCTTTTTGTTCGCTCGACGGAACTTGAAGCTGGTTGGATGATCCGATCGGTGGAGATGAGGGTAAGGATAAAATTCACCGAAATTCAATACGAAATAAAAAATTTGTACACAGACGACTTTTCTGCCTTTTTGTGCATCAGCAAAACGAACAAAACAAAGCAACTCGTCGAAACTTTCAAAACAACAACAATAATAAATGGTTCATAGACAGGCACCGGAAGTGAGCACCGGCTGGTGAGTTCCCGCCGAGGGGTCTCCGTCAATCATATTTTTGATGGGAAATTTTAAATCAGCTACACGGTTACTGAGAATAACTCAGAGAAAGAGAGAGAGATCCACTTCTACTCAGTTGTGTGATAAATTTTTAAAAACTGCAGTTTCTCAGGCCGAGCTCAGCGCTGCCCTAATAAAAAAAATAAACGAATGATAATCCAAATTCTTGAACAATTCCACAAATCAAGAACAACATGTGAAAAGGATATACAAGCTTTTTGTACACAAACCTTCTTATGCCCTTTTCTCGCCACTCATTTGACACCAACGCAAACCATTAACATTAGCGGGTAGGGGAAGCTTTCCTCTTCCCGATAATGTTGTTGGTTTGCGTAGGCGACACTCGGTTGGCGAGAAAAGGGCCCACAAAGGTTTGTTTACAAAAAGCTTGTATGCCCTTTTCACATGTGGCTCTTGAAATGGTTTGGATTATACCCAGAACACGTCGTTAAGCAAAATAACCACAACTATTTTATTAGGGTGAGTTCCTGCAGTTTTTAAAAATTTCTCCACACTGATAAATTGAACTGTTCCCATTTTGCTTGAAATTTAATCAATTTGACATTGAACCTCGCATTGAACTCAGTTTAATCATATCGAATGATTAAACATTAATACTCTTCTTCTAAAACATAATCATTATTAAAAAGTGTGATAAAACTGCAAGTTTACGTCTAATCGTCTTGGTGTCTTAGGTGCACTTATTCCTTATGATGAAAGCAATAAATGCTCCGAAGACTTAAAAACGATTTTACGGAAACGTGCACTTTTATCACACTTTTTGCATTTTTGGGACAGTCCTGTTTCAGATGCAATCAGCAATACCAGACTTATTTCTGACCGTTCAGGGATTTTCGATATTTATAATTTATTTTCGAAGATTCTAATTTAAGTGAAAATTCACCAAATGGACAGTCTTAGTTTATTATAAATAAAAAATACAGCAAAAAATTTTCAATAGGCTGTGTTACTTCGAAAACATACCAGTTTTTAAACATCATCTGGATAATCTTCGTTTTCTGCACACAACGATATTAATTTATATCAGTCATATTGATTTTTTTTGTCAATAAATATATTTGTTGACAGCTCGCTCACATACAAAGTCCCACCGAGAAGCGCTAAGATGGTGACTTTTACACTTTTACACATAACCGCGAGATTCCAACAGCCAAGTAGTTCTGCAATGTATTTTCTGAGATTCAGTACAACAATTACTGAATTTTTATTTTCCTCGATCTTGTTTTCCGTACTGAATACCAAAGCTACCGACGCTCCCGACGCCGGGACGGCAGCTCCCACACCTGGACCGTACCTATCGACCCATCGACTCATGGACCGGGGACCAACGACTCTACTTCCCTAAAACGCTGTACAGACTGGAGAGCTATAACATGTTATAACGGTTGTCAAATAATTGCAACACAGAAACCACCATCAAGATAGCGCTATAACATGTTATAACTCTGTAGTCTGAACGTAGCATAAGAGTGATCAGAGATTTTATGCCTCAGAAAATCCCGGCGGCGCCCACTGGGATTGAGCCCAGGCCTTTTTGGGTGAGCGGCAATCACGCTGGTCGTCTATTAATTATGCCACACATTTAGGGGGGAAGTGGGATTTTGAAAACTGTGACGAGCCATACAAAAAAAAAAAGGTTCATACAAAAAATGTGACAAAAGGGGGAGGGGGGTTGAAAATGGGCCAAATTTGCGTGACATAATTAATGGACCACCCCTTACCACTATACCACCAGCGTCGATCAGATTCAGCGAGATGAGTTTTTTGGCAAATTCAAGTTATAGTAACAATCAATACGAAACTAACGATTTTAAATTGGCTCACTACTTGACTAGCCTATTGGTCCCAAGCACAAGCAAACGATTTACGTACCCCATTCTAGTCAAAATTCTAGTACTACACTATGTTTGTTTTGATTCGCTTTGAAAGTTTGACAGATAAAATGAGGGGTTAGTGGATTTTCCTATGTTTCGAGGGATGAATCGATTAGCTTAGGACCGAAGAGAGTACCAGAGCTGAGCCAAAAATTTGAGCACGTTTCCTCGGGACCTTCAAGTCTTAGAGTTATAGCAACAATCAATACGAAACTAACGATTTTAAATTGGCTCACCACTTTAGTAGCCTATTGGTCCCAAGCAAACGATTAACGTACCCTATTCTAGTTGAAATTCTATTACTACACTATGTTTGTTTTGATTCGCTATGAAAGTTTGACAGATAACATCAGGGGTGTGTGGATTCATGCAGAACATGCAGGGGTGAGTGAAATAACTTGGGACTGCTTGGGACCGTTGTTCTGGTACTGAGTGAGCCAAAAATAATAATGATTTTCTTCGGGACCCAGTGGTCTTAGAGTTACCTCTATGGTTTAAGCCCTTCCCCCGTGGAGAATAGAATACCCATCTCGATACCCACATACAAACAGACATAACACTTGAAAGTTGTTCATCGACAAAGTATTTAACGATAAAATTAAAAGTATTGTAGTTGGTAGTCCCGACGGCCGATACTCGGGCGGTGAAAAATTCGGTGCAAATCCGTTTCCTCCGCCGGCTCCCAGAAGGGTTGGTTGACTAATGATTGACGTTCGTTGTACGGGGTCGGCCTTCCGCCGAAGAAGGAAGGATCGTGTAGCAACTGAGCTCGTCCGTTGCAGGCATCCTTGGAGACGGATGCATCCAGTGTGTAGTCCCAACTGGAGACCATGTCGTTTTTGAAAACATTGTAAAACAAAACAAAAACAAGAGCTGTTAATATACCGGGTTGCCAAACAAAGCATTATTCACAAGCAATCAAAAGTCAGTTCAATTAAAAAGCCTGAATTTATAAAGAGACGACATCTTATCCATTTGACAGGTCTTCTGCTAGATTGGAATGATTTTTCATATCTTTGACAGACAATCGATTGTTCCATTTTTGACATGTCGCCTCTTTATAAATTTAGGCTCTTTAAGTTCAATGACTTCTTGGCACTGCCGGTACAGCTGCGGTACACTGAGGTACACTGAGAAAAAAGTTGTCGCAAAACAAGTGTGTAGAGTGACCACCCCTTGGTTTATGTTCTACATTGTGTAATTAATGTAATTAAAGCTGTAGTTAATGGAATTAATTTAATAACAGCCGTTGCCACCCGCATAAACGCGAACCATAACTTGACCTTACCGAAAATGCTTAAAAATTGCTTATAATCCCTGCTTAACTTTAACTGAAATGGTTATGGAACTTTACATGAACGTTTGTGTGATAAAGTTTTAACCTTATGTATCAAGGTTTTTTGGAAGTGTACCTTAAAAATAATGGGTTGTTAAGAAACATTACCATACAAAATAGATGTTTTCTCTATACATTTTCGGAGAGAGGACTATATTAGAACCTTTTTACTTATGGTTTGAGAATTTTAATGGTAATGATTATGGTAGCCAGTAAGGTCCATTAATGGTTTTGTATTATAGGTAAACTTTACATGGAATATATCACGAATTGATAATCAGCAATTTACAGGCAACCAATTCGCGATATATTCCACATAAAGTTGATGGATGTTACAAAACCATCAGTGAACCTTAGCGACTACCATAACCATTACCATTAAAGTTCTCGAATCATAAATAAAATGGAGAAAACAAGAATTTGGAATGGTAATGGTTCTTAACAACCCATTATTTCTAAACGGCGCCGGTGGTGTAGTGGTAAGCGTGATTACCTCTCACCCCAGCAGGCCTGGGTTCAATCCCAGTCGGCACCGCCGGGATGTTCTGAGGCATAACATCTCTGATCACGCCTTCCTTCGGATGGGAAGTAAAGCCGTTGGTCCCCGGTTCATGAGTTGATGGATCGATAGGTAGGGTCCAGGTGTGGGAGCATTGGTAGCATTGGTGCTCAGCACGGAAAACAAGATCGACGGAAAAAACAAACCAAAAGAAAAAAAAAAAACCCATTATTTCAAAGTTTCACTTCCAAAAAACCATAATTCATAAGGTTAAAACTAGAGTCGGTGTATAATGAGTCACGCCAAGAGTGAAGCCAAGTCTACCTATTGAACTGCCAAACCGGCTACCTATCGTGCAAAGTAAACAAACATTACGATGCTATGAGAGGTGCAATAAAATATAAAATATGATCGAAGAAATGATCATAATCACGCAGTGAGCATTAAATTGTCATGGGATACGTTTGGTAATGATCAGTAATGAGAATTTCTACTATTTTTTGATAAGATAATTTGACAAAATCACTGATATAATGATTTACTACAGCCGCTATTTTTTTCTCGCTAGAAGTCATTTGAAGTTGATGTAGAAGTCCTCTGTTGCCAAGTGAAAAAAAGGGAATCTTTCGAAAACCGTGATGCGAGTTCAACTGTTTTTCTCTTGGCGTGACTCATTATACACCGACTCTAGTTAAAACTTTATCACACAAACGTTCATGTAAAGTTCTATAACCATTTGAGTTGAAGTTTAGCAGGGATTATAAACAATGTTTAACCATCTTTGGTAAGGTCAAGTTATGGTTCGTGTTTATGCGGGCAGCGTTGGAGTTAAAGGTTATTGCGTGCCCCTAGTGTAAAAGTTCAGTTTTGACCGATATGGGGGGGTTCTTCCGAAATTTGGGTAGTTTTGAAATAGCGGGTGTAACATTATACACGCTATTTCAAAACTACCCAAATTTGGGAAGAATCCACGTAGACCGGTCGAAACTGAAACTACCCAAAAATTGGTAAACTATGTTGAAAGTAACAAGTTGACAAATGAACAAAGTCGATCAGATTCATGGCGATGTTGTCCATTTGTCAACTTGTAACTCCCAACATAGATTACCGATTTTTGGGTAGGTTTAACCAATCTGGGTGGATTCTACACAAATTTGGGTAGTTTTGAAACAGCGTGTACACTCAAAAAATATTGGAAGCTAAATAATATAAAAGTTACGCTAAATCGCAACTCTCCGTGCCGACGCTAAGGTCGGTATAAAGGGAGAGAATACAGACTTAGTATAAAAATGATTTATACCTGCCATAGTATAAAATCTAAATATGCTTGCAATGCATACATACGAGGGAATGTATTTTCTGCTTCTTTTTCGTTTAGTAATTAATATGATTGTTTTCAAATAAAAATTAAAGTTTTAATTAAAGCAAAAGCATACCATAAAATTATCATTATCGAAACCCAGGTTTATCGTTAATCGCCGTTTTGATTTTTGATAAGCGGCTAAAACTTGGGTCCACCGGAATTGTTATATTCAAAGCTTTGGCCGTTAAGTCGAACAGATAGAAGAAATTACTGTGCATCAGCAGTTTATTGGCTAATCGATACAGGGTTGCCATTGATGGCAGGCTCTGATTCCACTTCCAGCAGGCTAATAAGCTTCTTTCGATCAATGAGCGGACGATGTTTGCAGTACCATTTGAGAACGTTATCACCTTCAACGTGAACTGAAAAACGACTACGAGTGTCATCGTGTTTGACATTGTCATTTTTGATCGTTTTAGTATACACTGATCGAATTCCACTCCGATAATCGGACTTAGTATAGTTTTGAAGAAAATATTAATCGGACCAATGTATAAATTTTGATTAATAATAAAATGCATAACATTTAATCAATATTAGTATTGGAGGCGAACCAGCCCAAGGCTGAAAGCCTCCCTAATAAAGATAAATAATAATAATAATCAATATTAGTTTTGTAATATTTTTGAGTGTAACCGGGCTCACCCGTTCTTGAAAATTAACAACTGTCAAGTAAAACATAAAAGGCCTTTTCGTGTGACAGCTGCATCCGTTCGAAACGTCAAACGCGCGATAGTCTTTTCGTCTTTTTGCATCCGTTAGGTTGGCAGCAATCATCTACTATTCTCTTTCTTTCCGGTCCAAAATGGTAAGCGAGCAAGTTCTGCGGTCGATTCGCTCGTATGGAAATCGCGTTTAAAATGGATGAAATTCGGTTTGAATCCAAGTGAAATCAATTCCGTTGTGAAGAAGCTGTGCCGGATTGCCGCAGGTGTCTATCGGAGTGATGGAATTTGGTGATTTTCTTTGGAAATTAGGAGATCAAAATTTGCGAGACCATCGGACTAGTGTGTGATATTGGCATAGTGTTGGCCGAGGGTGACACTTTCCACATGTTTATCCTGTCAGTGATGATAGAGTTGGAAGTGGCTTCGTAGGATGCAGTCTGAATTTTGCGGAGATAAAGAACCTAGCGTTTTCCGATGGCAGCTGGCAACTTCTTCATAACGGAAATAAATTCATCGTGTTGAAATACGAGCAGTTCTAGAAGCAGTGCAGCGAAATGAGGAAGCGAACTACTAACGGAGGTGTTGTTATTGTCTTGATTTCAGACCTTCACGCGTTTTGTGGAGACTGGCCGCGTGGCCAAGTGCGCCAGTGGAAAATACAAGGGACGCCTCGTCGCTATCGTCAATGTGATTGACCAGAATCGGGTAAGTTTTTATTCCTTTCATAGTGGTTAAACAATCGTTGGCAGCAATTTGCATTTTAACGTGATGACGTTCTCCCTCAGAGGAAACTAGAAGATAAGGAAGAGCCGCCTGAACCATATATGAAGCCAAATCTTCCAGAACTGAAAACCGTTTCAAGGCTACATTAGTAAACTTAGCATACAGAGAAGTTTAACTAACAGTGTGATTGTATGTCTCATTTATAGGTACTCATCGATGGCCCAATCACCGGTGTGCCCCGCCAGCAGTACCCCGTGAACCACCTGCATCTGACCAAATACCGGGTTAAGTTCCCATACACCGCCAAGACCAAGGTGGTCCGCAAAGCGTTGGAAGCCTACAACCTGAAGGAGAAATTCTCTACCACCAGATGGCAGGAACGTGCGGCCTCCAAGGCTAAGGTGAGTTTCGTGTTTGATTTCATTCCATTGGAGATAATAGACAAATCAATTCGATGATGAACCCTTTATAATAATTTCATTGATAGGAAAGGCCGACTGATTCAAATATGAAGCCACTTTGTTCTGATATCTTAAGAAAGAAGCGATTTTTAAGTTGTTTGTAATCTAACTTCGTTAAACATCGTTACTTTCTAAAAATTAAAGAAAATTGTAAACCTTCAAAGACCATACAAGTAATTCTTCATCATTCCCTTCTCGTCCCATCAGCGTTGTAATCTGACCGACTTCGATCGGTTCAAGCTGCGCCTGGCCCGTTCGGAGCGTAACCGCATCGTCAGCACCCAGTTCAAGAAGCTGAAGAAGGAGGTCGTCAACAACGGTATGCTGTTCGGTAAGCCAGTCAAGGGCACGAAATCACTGCCGAAGCGACGCAATCCCCTTCCCAAGAAGGAGGGCAAGAAGAAGCGCGTCCGGAAGACCAAGAAGGCCCCGGCCAAGAAGTAAAAAACAAAAATTGGGGGTGATAAATTCGTGCGGATGTGTGTACTGAAGAAATGGGAGAAGAAATATACATAATTATAAAAAAGTAAATCCAACTACGTTTGAAATAAGATGAAAGTTTGTGTTTGTGTTTAAGTCAGGAGTTGCTTGTCTTTTTCATTTTGTTCCTTTGCTCTGGTTTCGTTTCATCTGGATGGAAGGATTTGCGTCGACGGGGAGAGCAGTGTTGGAAAAGGGTTGTTGTTGGTGATGTGCAGCGTTGCAAGTTTTATGAAAACCTGATCCAGTTACCTGTAAAATCTGGATTGCTCCGAAATAACAAGACACCACAAGTTTTGTTTGACTGTCCTTCAGTTTAAACGTTATTGATTTGCAGTTAATAGACGTATAAGATTTGGGTCTTTCACTTCCAAGCATAAATAATACCAGTTGGCGTGTGAGGTGAGGTGACACGCTGTCACTTCTGAAGTGACAATTGTCACCTCGCGTGAGGTGACTCTCCATTTGATTTGCACGGAGACTCACCTCACCCGAGGTGACAATTGTCACTTCACTGTCACCTCACCTCACATGCCGCGCAGAATAGGCCTACAGAATTTTTATCTGAACTACGCAGCATTTTGGGAATGTTGAGGTACATATCAAACATTTTTTATTAATTAAAAAAAAGTTACTAAACCCTTTTCTGACCGCGTTACCAAAAATTCCCACCCTCTATGAGTGACTGCGTAAAATCACAGGTGATTGATAGCTACATAGGGGAAATGGCTCTAAGATTGGGCCCATCACTAAAAATCTGCTATTTATCAATTTTATCTAATCGGTACTAATGGACATTTTTGGTCGCTATTGAAGATTTAGTCGATTGCTGAATTTATGTATGAGCCCAAATTAAGGGCATTTAGTCTGACATTACAATCATTTCCCCTATATATCTAAAGGTTATACGCTGTGGTATAATTCAACTATCGAATGAACCATTTATCATGATAGCAAAGGGAGATGATTTTGTTTCTATCTCTCCTATCCCATCATCGATTTTTCTATCATGATAGTATCAAAGATGGGATAGGGGTTCTATCATGATAGAAACTTATCATTGTTACGTTTTTCCTATACCTAATGCGTCCCAAAATCTTAGACCCCCCTCCGCCTTAGAGCGTAACATAATCCCCCCTATTCTGCGAGTCACGTGACTCTCTCTCACCGGTGAGGTGACAATAGTCACCTCGTGTGAGGTGACTCTCCATTTGATTTACATGGAGAGTCACCTCACACGAGGTGACAATTGTCACCTCACCGGTGAGAGAGAGTCACGTGACTCGCAGAATAGGGGGGATTCCCCCCTATTCTGCGAGTCACGTGACTCTCTCTCACCGGTGAGGTGACAATAGTCACCTCGTGTGAGGTGACTCTCCATTTGATTTACATGGAGAGTCACCTCACACGAGGTGACAATTGTCACCTCACCGGTGAGAGAGAGTCACGTGACTCGCAGAATAAGGGGGAATATATGCATCAATCCTTATGGTCAACTTCGCTGCGTATACCTTCAGGCGTACATGATGTACTGAGTAAAGTGAGTTTGAAATTCGGAGGCGATCGACGGTCTGAAAGACGCACTGCCCATTCTAGAAATATCACCGATATGTGCGGTAAAACCATAGAGGTAACTCTAAGACTAGAAGGTCCCAAAGAAATGTGCTCTACTTTTTGGCTCAGCTCTGGTACTATCTTCGGTCCTAAGCTAATCGATGCACCCCTCGAAACATAGGAAAATCCACGAACCCCTCATTTTATCTGTCAAACTTTTATAGCGAATCAAAACAAACATAGTGTAGTACTAGAATTTTGACTAGAATGGGATTTGACTGGCTTGGGATCAATAGGCCAGTCAAGTAGTGAGCCAATTTAAAATCGTTAGTTTCCACCGGTTGCTACTACTAAAATGTCTTTTTATATTTATGTATTATGATCTTACATTTTCAAAAGCAAATTCGTCAACAAAGTCGAGCTATCAGTGTCAATCGATGCTCCTGTTATTACACTATATATATATATATATATATATACTGTCCGAATATAGGATCACATCCCATTTTTAAATTTATTTACCAGTCAAATTGCTCTTTGACGTAATCACATTCCGATCAAAATATTTTTCGATGTTACTTAAGTCACCCGATTTTTATGGAGATGCCGTTTGTCTTAAGTAACAGCGCAGAGAAACCCGTGAAACACGTTCGTTGTTTCGCTTTCTCATTATTAAAGTGAATAAATTGAACTGTTTGTTGCTAAGATGATTTCGGTGGTCCTAAAATGATGAATAGACTGCACGTAAGGAGAGGTGATTGATAATTCTCCCGAATATACTGGTAAATACACTTTGACTTGAGTATCATTAGGGGGCCACCAAATGACGTATAATAACTTTTAACTCAAAAACCAGCAAACTTTTTAGCATAAAAGCTATCGATCTGCTTTGTATGATTAAAACCCTGCTTAATATGTTAAACATTGCTATCACTATGAGATTATATGTGTTTAATTGGAAATAGGAATAACTTTTCGGTAATCGATACCACTAGCGTGCACAGGAATCTAGTTAAAGAGGGGCATTTTTATTCTATGGTGCATTTAATCTGGGGATAGGGAGTACTCCAAAGTGCGTGGTGGATGGTGCTGTTCACCCACCACCTTTTCCCTACTGTTCAATTTAGCTAATTTTGTTTGCCCCGGTTGTGCACACTTAGATTTTTTGCCGAGATGGGCACCACCAAGCAGTTCGTCATTTTATTTTGCTGGATCTCAGTGAAAAACTACAAGGGACAGCCCAACGGAGTTGTACTCAATGGTGACGTAGGACCGCGTAGGACTACGTGCTATAATCAATCTTATTTGTTAACTGCAGCAAAAGCTTGTGTTTTTTGTAAGAATAGGAATTTGAGCTGGGTTCTCTCTGTTTATACTCGTTAGTATGACGCGCTTGACATAGATGGCCCACTGCGATGCGATCTATGAATGCTCATGTGGGCTCCAGCTCGTTGCTTACAGGCAGCCTTTCGTTGTGTACTGTAGAACACCACCAATCACAACGCGGTGATTGAATAAACACCGTTTGATGAGACCGGATGGAATTCAACTTTGAAATCTGTGTTAGGGAAATCGCTTTTCGCAGGCAATAGGTGATAATTTTAATTATCATAGCAACAGTTGCACATTCGTGCAATTTTCAATAGTGACATTTTGAAAAATGATACAGTCTCAAATTCAATAGATGCGTAGAAATATTTCTGATCGATAGGTGATAAAATTATTTAAATTGGTACAGGGACCGAGACAGGGACAGCTAAGTTATTAAATTTCAAAATCTTTCATAATTTTGTTACATGTTCCATTTTCGGTTTTCATAAAGTGTACCCCCATCTAGAAATCACAGACGTAGTCCTACGTCAAAACTTGTCGAGATTCAGCTAACAAATTTTGCCGAGATCTCAGCTAACAAACATAAGTTTTGCTGAATCTCGGCAAGTTTTTCACTGAGATCCAGCAAAATAAAATGCCGAGCTGATCGTTGGTTTTCTTCAATGAAAACTGCTTTCAGATAGCCAATGGGAATTGACTCTTTAATTCCATCGACGATGTCGATGATGATCGGTTCGTCATATGGTTGCAATAGTAGGGGTTTAACCGAAATGATACATTTGCTGGAATGTTGCTGCCTTGGTGGTTGGATTCAGCTGAAGTCACGTCAGATGGTGGTGATAGTTCGAATGTGTGGTGATCTATATGACTGGTGTTTTGTTGTGTTGTTGAATCAAATGGTAAGCAAGTATTAATGTTTGCAAATTAGATATTATATTGATTTGAGAGGCCAGTAATACTTAAAAGCCAATAATTATTTGTTTCTTATTGAAAATGCTAAATCAACACAGTTTGTTCAATAAAGTTGTTCGGAAACATTTCTCGATGAACATTTCAAATGGTCCTATCTGCTTTGATCGATTCTCTTCATCGACTTTCTCTTTCGTTAATAACTCAGCTGCAAAACCTTTCCCTGTTGTATTTGACGTTTTGGACGCTAGATAAGAACCTCCTTTATCAAACTATGTGGTAGAATTAGCGCGAAATCTGTTTGCATAGCAGTGGTTATGAAAAGAGAAAGTCGATGAAGAGAATCGATCAAAGCAGATAGGACCATTTGAAATGTTCATCGAGATTTGATTAATATAATTGGTCTGCAGCCCAACAAACAATTTGTGTTGATTAACAGCTGAATAAGCCATTTTGTAGCTGAAGAAGCTTATTTTTGCCTGAATAAGCTCTTATTTAACATTCAATATTTCAGTGCCAACATTTCAAAGGGGCGTAATTGCTTTTGTAAACAATGACTTTAGCCGTAAATTTCTCGCGAATGAAATCTTACCTCTCCAAAATAACAATGCTAGCTGGTAGAGGAAACATTCCTCTACCTGCTGGTGTCATTATTTTTCATGAGTGAGCTTTTATTCGCGAGAAATCGACGGCTAAAGCCATTGTTTACAAATACAATTACGCCCCTTTGGAATGTTGGAACTGATTTGTTGGGAGGTGGAGCTGCTCATCTTCGAAAACGTGCTTCTAGAAACCTACCATTTGGTAATAAATTTGTCACGATAGATAATTACAAAACTTACCATTATGAGATGAAAAGTTTTGCAGAATTCAGAGTTTATACAAATTCCTCCTCCAGAAAAAAAATATGTTGCTTGTGTGATATCTCTTACCAGATTTTTCACCAAACATTTTCAAACAAAGCTTGTGCAACAAATTTTCATGAAAACTCGCCCATCTAGTCACCAGAGCGATGTCATTTAACACCAGCGATTTTCAGTAAATTTCGCCCTACATTAAGGGGGTATTCCCGATCTTTTTTTTCAAAAAATCAAATTTTTTTTTTCACGTTTTTTTGTACTTTAGACTATATACTTTCATCCCCCCAAGCCGTTTTCCGATCAGCGAATTCGGTGTCCAGGCATAGCTGACTAATGGTAAGAACCCCCAAATGGTTTTAACTAAAGTCAAAACTTTAAACGCGTTTATCTCGAAAC